AAATGGAGTTCTTATCGCATGCAGTCGAGTTCTATAGTTCCTGATACTTTTTAATAATAGTTCTGGCGATTTAAACCAAAAAACAGCCGATAGAAAAAAAAAGATTTATTTATCGTAACACTAAGACGCTGACGGATTTTCGATAGTTCTACGAGTTCTAAACTATTTCTCGTGTAGTTCTGAACACATTTATTCATTTTTCAAAGAATTTTAGGCACAATGCCGCAAAGTCGTATCTTAAACTGCATTGCTCCTCTACGTTCCTTTTGCGAATATCTTGTTGCGAGAAAACTTCTGCTACCGTTCGATGGGCCATTTTAAAGAAAATGTCGGACTTGTAACAAAAACATTTCAAAGACGCGACTCTATCCCGGAATAGATGCACTCTTGCTCCTCTTGCTGCTTATGTAACTTACAAGTAGGCGGAAACGGATCCTCACCGCTCTCCGTAATATATATGGCGTATAAAACGAGGACCCATATATCTACAGTAGCAGTTCTCGGGGTAGTAAATGAACGGTCATTCAAGGAAAGGCTAACATCTCTATTGGACCCAGATTTCGCTTGAGTTCGAACTTGAGCTTTTCCTGCTGAGAGGACACTTGTCAGCGCGATATCGAGAACGTTCGGAACACGACGGCCATCAATAACAGCAGCGATTGCTGATACTTCGTGGCAGATCCCGTACGCGAGATATCGTTTCCCTGACGTTCAATTTAGCCGGCAGATATCCGCTTTGTATAATCTGCGAATTATGCAGGCGCGGGCTCATTTAAATTCGATAAGCTTAAACAAGGATTATTGAAATCCCAACTAAAAGTACGGAATAATTCTCGGAAGAGCACGAAAACGATCTCGAAATGTTGTCCGAGGACCGATCTCGTAGAACTGCTCTGACGAACTTGCGGCACAAAATATTTTCGCAATATGTCGCACAACAATTTTTATACCGCGTCACACAGCAATTTTCTCAGCGTACCATAAAGCAATATCTTGTATGAAGTGTATAACACAAACATAGCGCGCGTATGCAAAAACCTCGCGTGTATTTCTAGTCCTTTAGAACAGCAAATGTACCTGGTGGTTTTAAATTACCATCTACTATTACAACTTTTATTCCAACAGCGTACAAACCGATGACGAGATTAAAGTATCAAAAGTACGGGGAACAAAATAAGAAATAACGCGGTGGCCTCTCTTTCCTTTCTCCGAGCAGAAGCTTCTCGGAGAAAGGAATGGACAAGGAAAAAAAAAGAAGGAGACTGTTTATTTGTACGCGTTAAAAAGTTGGAAAAGGTAGGTCGCTCGGGATAACTCAACTTTCGCGTCGCTGCGTTTTCCGTGTTGGAATGTGTGTGTCGATGGTCATAACCCGACTGACACGAAATCAGCGCACGATTCTTCGAGGGAGAAGTTTCTCCGTGGCGAAGGGGAAGTGTCAGAGAAAACCTCGTTGTTACGAAATCGACGAGCCCTCGCTCGACAAAGTTAAGCTTTGACCTCGCTGAAAAGCGCCAAGTTTTGCGGGAACAGCAGAGAGTGCTTAAAAGCGGGCCCGGACGCGTCTCCATGCGGGAAAACGCATGCGGGGAAAATGTGGGATGTGCGTTCCACCGTTCTAAACGATAGCGTTTCATGATCCGCGCAAAGCTCCCGAGTAAGCTCTCATAAGTGTTCACGTGGTAGAGGCAGTTAAAATCATTACGTATGCACGTGGAAGGCATTGAATGTGCCCGGAAGTAACTTGCTAGAGCGGCGCGTTCGTGTCAGACATTTGCAGATGCTGCAATAATATCGAAGCGACGATATCAATGGGATCAAAGGCATTGTTTCTGCTCGGCTTCTTTAAAGTGTTTTACGGAAATTTTTAATTTATCCGAAAGATTTACTTAGCAAAGTTACTACTTAGCAAACTTACAGAAGACCTTTGTTTTAAGAGGGGTTTTCAGCAACTTTACAATTTCTTCTCTTCCTTTGAATAAAATGAAAATGTAAAAGTCGCGGGATTTAGTTATTTTTTTAAACAAGCATAAGAAGAACAAGTATGAATTATTCATTCAAACGCGCTATGGGTGTGCAATGATTTTTCGCACTTGTCAAATATTGTTTAAATAAATCTGTATATAGATGTTAGATCCGAAACTATTTCGAGTAACGTGTATTGCGTAGCAACTTGACATTGCTGGCTCGATATTAAATCTAATAATATTCATAACATTTACATTGTAAACGAGACTAACGCTCTGCGCTAATGTACTTTCAACTGAACGGAAGAGCGGAGTGAGTTGCAACAAGAGTGCAACGAGGTCGAAAATAGCATGCTCGTTACGGCCAACAAACCACTTGAAGTTTTCTTAGCGTCTAATTTTCGTGATGAATCACATAATACCGTTTTATTCGCGAAATAGATAATAGCACACTCATAATCTTGACGATTAAACGAGCTTTGGCAAATAATGTTGCAGACAAAAAGTTTACTTCAAAATTGTTACGTCAGTGTTTTAGACAATACACTTTATTTTAAAGAAAACAAGATAATTTTTCGAAAATTCTAGCCTTGAGATTTTCTAATATTAAAACGTACAGGATGTTCGACGCTATGTTTTAAATGTTATACATTTTTTACATAGCGATTCCCTTTGAAGTAAGTTTGCTTCTAAATTCTTTAGCTTAAAAAATTAAATCTTTTTTATATTATGTTCTTATTAATAATGAACTTTACAAAAGTTTCTTTGTAAATTTAATGTCAGCTATAAGTAAATTTTCCACAAATAAACTTCGAATATTCTTAGAAAACTTACAGAGAAACCGAATAAAAATTTGTATTGGAAATAAAATAAATCAGCCGGGACTGAAACACTAAACTACTTCAATGGAAAATTATGTTGAATTATGCATTATTTTGAAATAAGCAAATTGAAAAGAAACGAAGAACAGAAATGGTCCTTGGAAGCTACCGGCAGTATTTCTTTGAAGTTTCTTTGCGTCGATAATCCAAGTTGTACCAAGTTGAAAATTCTTAGAATTCCCCCGTAAAGAGTATTTCAGAAAACGAAATTAATAGTTGCGCCATGCAAAAGGCCGTCCGAGAGTCCGTTTATAAATCAAATGATCCGTCTGGCCTTTTTGATATTTTCTACTGAACACTTCAAGGAAAACGTTGGCCAACGTTTGCCGATAGTTTGTGATAAAGCATCTAACATATTTTTAGAGAGTTATCACTTTGAAGATATTAATAGAAACATTTAGCAAATATCTCAGGGTTGCGAATTTCACGCAAACTATAAAATTTCACGTCGGTAACAAATATAATAGAAAGAATGCCACTAGCAAGTACGTATTACCTCGAGCTTTGTTATACATGATGTATATAACCCACGTATATAGATGTATATAAAATAATAACGATAATATAAAACTTTATTGCTTATTTGATGCTCACGAAAAATATTACCAGCAATACGTATTAACTCTTTATTATACATCATGTATATAACCCACGTGTATGTGTACCTAAATAATAATAATAATATAAAATAATATATAAACTTATTGCTAATTTAATGCTCTCTGAAAAATGTTAATTTAAATTGGTTCTGTTCATTCTGTACGTTTCTCTGAAAAATGACGTGCCGCTGAAGAAGTTCTTCCTTACAGAGTAAAGTAGAACAAATTCTAATTAGTATTTTTCGAGAGCAACAAATTAACATACCATTATTACTTTTCCGTTTACGTGTACATCGTGTTCCGCTAACTTGTTTTGGCGGAACATTATTTTTCAGAGAACCGTGAAGTATAGCCAGGACAAATTCTATTTAATATTTTTCGAGAGCAATAAATTCTCATAACATGGTTATTACTTTTCCGTTTACGCATACATAATGTTCCGCTAACTTTGTCTTCCTTTCTCGAAACATTATTGTTCGGAGAAAGCTACAAAATGAGCTGGACAATTCTAAATAATTTTTCGAGAGCAACAAATTAGCAACAAATTCTTACATTAACATTGTTACAACTCCAATAGTGTACACACATATTGTTCCGCTAAAGAAAGACCAACATATTGTGTAAATGTATAAAATACATGAACGAAATTTTAATAATGTTAATATAAGAATTTATTACAAATTTATTGCTCTGAAAAAATATTTATTAAAATTTGTTCCGTTATTCTGTGAGCTTCTGTGAAACATGATGTTCCGCTAAAGGAAAACTAACAATACGTTGCGAAACAATACACATACATAACGTACAGATTTTTCTTATTACAGAAGCAGATTGAAAGGAGAGTTATAAAAATGTTACTATCGAACACAACAAGATTATTATTACCTCTTTTAAACTTTCTGAGTTTCTCTTTAATTCTTTCGTAAGAATCTTTGAAATGCTTCTTATCGGACGAATTATCGACAATATAGCGATTCTTGTTATAGCAAAAACGCAGCTAAAAGTGTTCGCTCGTAATTGTGAAACGATGACGGAATCAATCTTCCGTTACTTGTTACTGGATTTATTCTTTGATCGAAATTCGCATTTGTCTTTTTTTCTTCAGCGGAGGCAGCATCGGAATTTAATTATTCTTGTTTAATTAGTAATAGTAATGCACGGGACAAGACGATTTTACACTTTCCTGATTTATCGTGAATGAAATATTGTGAAAATAATATTTAGAAAAATTTATATAAAATATACACACACGCACACAAAGTAGAAAGTATATAAAACAAAAAATTATATTTAATATTACTATTTAATATTTTTTGTGCATTCTTCAGAAATAAATTTTCACGTTTGCAAGTTAATTCTCTAAAATTATAACGTATTCTAAATTAAATCACGTAACTTAATAAAGCGGCAATAAAATAAATTTATACTTTTTCTCAACTCAAAAATATAAACATCACTGTGGGCGACGACAAAGTTAATAAAGTCACAATTATTCTACAAAATGTAAATTTTACAATTGTAGCATGCAATCATTACATAACTCGATAACTTACGTGCGATTCCATTGTGATTTCTTGGATTATTGTCCGTTAAGTGAGTTTTCTTCTCGCAGCTGCGCTTCTTCCGACCCTCAGAACTGTCCGTTCTGAAATCACATATTATTAATTTAATCATCGATATTGTCCAGTATTCTCCGGTATCGTGAAAAGGAGGAAAGACTCTGTTTTCCTTTTATAATCGATTATCGTTGTTACCGCAGTTGATTCGCAACATCGCGCCAGCCAATATTTTTCATCACTTCGAGGTAATAATTTTTCGACTAGTAACTTTGAATGGAACGTTAATTATTATATCATGTGGTAATAAGCTTATACATGACGGGAAGCGTGTGTGTAATAGATTATGTCATGTGTAAAGGAACGCTTTGACGTGGCTTTAGTCTTCTATGTGTAATAAATGGAGCTGTTACTATCGAGTTTAATACCTGCACCCGACAGCTTTGACAATATTTTGATGAAAGAATTTCATACGAAATCGCTAATACCCCGATTGATTAATTTGATAAATATTGACATATTATACAAAAGCAATCTATCACGTCGATATTTTTATTAATAAAAATTAATATGGATGTAACTGCACAATAATATTTGTCATCAACATCACCCGCGGAAAATATCAATAAGGTGTTATCTGTAGATAATCTCTTTATACTAAAAACAAGTTTATCGTAGAAACTCGTGAAAATAGAAGCAACTGAGTAAAGCTTAAATGATTGTTACATCCCCTGTTATTCTATGACTAGATCGTAAGTTATGCGAAACTTCATTACGAAAGTACTGGCCGTTAAGTTGATGAACGATCAAACGAGAGCTAATCAACGAAATCTCGCATCGACGATATCTGGAATGGCCCGACGCGCCCTTGTTTGTCTTTTAATTAGTCGTGTATTAGTAGGTCAGACGACCAACACCTCTTCTTCTTTTGTAACACTACGCCCTTCGGTCTATTATCTAGATACGATAATCATTAGGTGATCGATCGGAAACCGAAGACATCGGCTACGGAATTTCGCAACTTGTTCGGCGAACGAGTAGTCAAGGATATCGAGAGATCCATTACAGGATAGTAATACGTACTGATGTATCAATTTGGCCTTTGTAACTGTAGACACGTGTCTAATAGTTTGTGAAAGCGGATAAATTAAGAAAAAAAAGCATCAAATCGCGCGTCAGAGACAAAACGTTCGTTCGGCGAGAATTTCTATATTCGTGACCTCTGTGAAGTTGGCACCTCATGTCTCAAAAAAATTTTTTTTTCTGTAAAAAAAATTTTCCTCCTTCGGGACTTGGAAATTTTCCATACTTGGGTCCGAAAAATTTCTAAATCCCGAAGAAGGAAAATTTTTTAACAGTTCCAGCAGTTCTATTGGGAGTTCTGGGTAGCCCCTCAAGAGTTCTAAAGGAAATCATAATGGCAAAATTAAATATTTCCAATACTTTTAGTGTTATCGCTGATTTCGAGATTTCATTTTGTGAAGTTAGCATCCCCAAGTTTCAAATTTAACTTTTTTAGGTTTATTCGCCAGAACTATTTTTAAAATTGATAAGGAACTCTAGAACTCTTCGGGGTGCATTCAGAACTGAAAAAAAAGATGTTTTGAGACACGAGGTACCAACTTCACAGAGGTATATTCGTGTTTAAATTATTTATGGAATTCCCGTTGAGCAGCAATAAAATTGCAACTTAATGCAACAAAGTGAGAGGAACATGGAGCAAACTTTATGACAATGAAATTAAATGCATACTGTTTGCCAGACTAGCATGCGACCACAGCTACACTCGCGGGTCTATTGGCAATACGGATTATTTGGCATTGTTGGTATGTTATGTCTTCAACTGTACGCATGAATGCATACTAACTTTACATATATTAACGCAAGGTTATCAGCAGAGTCATCAATGGTTGATTAAAAGCAGAAACCAATCGTGGGCAACGATTGCGAACAACGGACAGTAGATCTCATTCCATGTCACGAACGGACTGGCGAATTTAAATATCAAGGATATGCCACGCAGCGTTGGTTACACGTTGCATTATCGATTATATATGCCCCCAAATGGTTATTTCCGTGATACACTGTTAACCATTATGCCAAATTTGTCAAGCTCGACAAGATCAAATTTATTGGCAGGCCGAGAATGTTAGCTCGAGCAATAAATCACGGAGCTCACATTACGTACATACATAAAGCTTGAATGGCATTAAATCTAATTAATTTTATTTTCTCGCTGCCACCGTATACTGTAAACACAATGTAGATTTTGGTGAAGGCCTCATGCCAAGTCTACGTGTATACAGTAATTTCTTTACCCGCAAAGGTCTTTTTGAAACTTATACACAGAAATATGACTAAATTTAAGAATTGCACGGTTTGGTAAAAATTCAGACAGACGCACTGTGTATGTTTCCGACCGTTTAATCGACCGATGCGTCTTTCAACGCAACATAATGCACGATTGCCATTGAAATAGATCAGCGTGCGATGCGATTTCAAGAGTCTCGAGAGGTGTTCGAGTGCACATTCGAGTGGCATTTCGCGGGACAACTCCCGGCAATGAAAATATCCTGCAGTATTCAACAATAGCGCACGTGTTCGATTAGATTAATACAGGCGTAATTTGCGGACGTAGAATAATGATAAAGCCAACAGCGGATGGTCAAACAATTAAAGAGAAAGCTCCTCCGCCAGGACGACGCTTAGAAAGTCAATTATACCGTCACGGGAATTATTCATAGTCTCGTAATGAGCTTAAATTGAGATCTCACGTTTCTCACAGATAGCGTCTCAGGCAGAAGATCAATTCATTAGAGTTTTAGAACCAAAGTTACATTTTCTTTCTCTATTTTTAATACACGTATGCCTTTTCTTTGCGAACAACGCGGATTTGTTACGAAGGAAAAGGCTAATTATTTGGAACAAAAATTTAAAAAATGATTCTTTAATTTTGTATCCAAGTGCGCTACTCTTCAATCATAACGTCAAGTTCTTTGACGAAAGCGACGTCAATTTTCATTGCAAGAAAACTTTTTAGACACAGCGAGTTCTGGGATGTCGCTCTCTGCGAATGTTATAATTATAAATTTATTACAGAGTAATTTCGTGAAGCAAATATAGAGAAGTGGAAGAAGTGGCGTAAGCGAATATAGCATTTGCATTTAATTAAATATTGCAGTGCGAGAGAGACGTATCGAGATGTACGGGATGTATAGAGATCTCATGCGCTCTCTTTCGGCACATTGAGGATACTTATACATTTAAATAAATATAAAGAAGATATTAACTTTACGATATAATATCTCTCGCGTTGCAGGATCATTCCGGGTTGCAGTTGAAAATACCAGAGTAGAAACTCCGGTTTAAAGGTCAGGCAGTTGATTAAGGATATCCTCAGCTCATCTCAATTCCCGTATTCCTCGTGCCCAGTTTCAAACTGTTAAATACTTGGTATCTTGCTCGCTTTGCATTTTATTTAATTTGCGTAAAAATGTCGGCTTCTCCCGTGATAAAGGGAGATTTTCCCTTCCTTTGACGACAAAGACGCGAAGATGCGGTTTAACAGAATCATTGTAGTTTTTAAACACACGTATGCGTCAATTTCACGCTCCGCGATGAATCCTTATTACATTACCGCTGTTCTTGCAGCGAGAAACATATTTTATGGATCAGGGGAATGAGACAAAAATCTAATTATTCATACATTATCATATCAACGGAAAAATATATTACACAAGGACGCGGAGAATACGTTTCTTTTTAAATCATAGAAATAAAAAGTATTTGAAAGGAAAGCCTCTAATGTTGCATATATAATAATAAAATGCACACATATTCACATTAGCTCAGGTCCGGTTTATCAGAAGACGAGGAGAATGTATCCTATTGTAGTCCGCTTTTGCGGTTCGCCGGTTCGAACGCAATATATGGACAATAGTGCTGTGTCAGCTGATGCTGGAGTAATAAGAGGACACATTGTGATGCCGAGATGCTTGAAACGCTGAGAATAAAAGTTATAGCCGCATAGAAATTTTATTAGAATTTCAACGCGAGGAAAGATGGACAAATTCGATAATGCGAGCAAAGAGCCTGCAGTAATTTGAAATATTACATTATACTTTTGCACTGATAAAATAAAATTCCAACTTAAAAGCTAGATTTCCACTGATTCGCAGAATTAAAAAGCTCTCGACGAATCTACAATTTTACTCGAGAAAGACATTTTTCGTATTGTCCAAAGGCTCAGTTCTAGTTAACGGTAAAAGATACGAGAAATAGCACATATTAATGTGTGAAAAACACGTGTAACAAACTAAAAATTTACACCGATTTATTGTTGCAACCTTTTATTCTTGCCACGATTTAGTGGCAAGAACATTTAGTTTCGTGGCAAGATTAATTCGGGAGACTGAATATATAGTGAGGAAGAACAGCGTCATTTGCGCGTCGAAGCGATTCTGAGCTTTCATATTCTTGCCGCGGTACATCAGTAATCTACCTCACACAAGTATTGACGTCACGTCTATGCAACAGCGATGCGAAACAAGATTTCGCGAGTTTAATGACGTTTAAGTCAACCCCGCTTAAGACATGACGGGGATGTTTTACATAAGCTTCCGTAACTTACATATGACTCTTACGTGTGCGGCATGCCAAGATAGACGGGATTACCGAGGTAACGGGAATCGTTATGGAGTCTCTTAAATTTGCGCCAGTCAGTTTCCAAGCTCAGCAGTTTAATTGCGGACTTACCAACACAGATTCTAGCGAAAACCTTATTTTCTCCCAAAGTTTGATTACCGACCTTTTTACCCGCTCTTCCGCGCAATTTGCATAAGGTAGCGCTCCGCGTGATATCGTTCGTTAAGCGGATCTCCCGGGTTAGTCCCTCTCAAAATACGCGACGCGAACGAGAGCTTGCGACGCCAATTATATCGGTGTACCAATTTGCCGGGGAGAAAAGTACCGAAGGGGAGGAAAAAAGAAAGTGTCCCCAGCAATGGTGTTAGAAAAGAGCGTGTTACGGGTTGAGGGCACCCGCGGGATCGCTTCAACTTGCCCCTGCCCGGTTGGTACACATACCCGG